AGAGATATTCTCAAGAACTACAAAATTTGGGATCTATTAAAATGGGCGAAAGTTTTTACGATCCGACAGAAATCTATCGCAATAACAAGTTTGACGAATACTTGATGGGAATGATTAGTCAGAACGCCATGGGATCTGATTCAGTGATTACCAGCGAAATGATTAACGGAATCATATCTAATGGCACTCTTGATTTGGTGGCCCTCACTATTCAACAGGTTATAATCAATAGCTTATCATTGATATAATAATGGACTATAATATACGGATTAGGGTCGGGATCACGGGTTACCCGGTTATACAGAGTGGAGGAGAGGCTGCAAAATAGAGCCAAATGTGGATGAATTTAGTGATTTGACAACTATTATGAAGAACGATGCCATCAAAAAACTATCTAAACTTTATGCGTTAGTCAATTGAATTAGAAATCATTGAAATATTAGAAATTAATAAAATATAAATTGCTTTTAATTTATAGTTCTGTTCACGACATCGACCTCTTCACTGGAGGTTTGGCTGAAAAGCCTATGAAAGGTTTCAATGAATTACACATTAATGCCATAATAAATATAAATAACAAGAATTTGATTACAAAAATTAGGTGCAATGGTTGGGCCGACGTTTGCCTGTTTACTCGGTCGACAGTTTTATTTTCTCCGAAGTGGCGATAGATTTTGGTAATTACTGAACACACTTAACATGTATTGATAAAAACTGTCTGACATAACACTAATATACAGGTATGAGAACGATATGCCTCCGTCTGGTTTCACGAAAGACCAATTGGATGAGATCAGGAGGACATCATTGGCTCGCATTATCTGCGACAACGGCGACAAAACTGATTTCGTTCAGCCGTCGTCTATGATAGCGTCCGATATATTTCTAAACGCGTTTCAATACTGCAGTACCGGAACTATTAATAGCGTCGACTTAAATAAGTGGCGAAGCAGTGATCGATTGGTTCATTCAATGTCTAAAATCAATAGAAACTTATTGATAGAAGAGCTGAAAAGAGCGCGAAGAGAAGTTCAAAGTCTTCGACAGTCGGAGATGGAGAATATGCTTAAGAAGAATGGTGTGGCCGCTCCTAACAGCCCACAGACCCGGCTCTCCGGCTTTGTTAGGCCCAAAAGACAGGCGCAGATCATTAATAATCAGTCACTTGTGTTAGAGTTAGCGACAAATGGTTTAGTGAACTCATTGTTAAGGGACGGACGCGACAGAGAATTGGGTCGTTCTCTCGACGAGGATATTAATGATTTTGTTCAATCGTTGCCTCAAATGGACTTAAATGAATTGATTGACAACCATTTGTCGAGTAACGATGAGAAGTCTCTGTCCAAGTGCTACGAATCGATCGTCCCGTGCGATCACACGACACCTTTCCGGTCTATAAGCGGTTTCTGTAATAACATTAATAATCCAGAGTTTGGCAAAAGTATGAGAGTTTTTGACCGAATCCTTCCTCCGGTATATGAGGACGGAATCAAAGGTCAACGAAGAAGAGGAAAGTCGGGTAAAAGTCTTCCGTCGCCGCGAGTGATCTCCACATCCATTCACGACGATATCAGTTCCCCACACGTCAGATACGTAAGTGATTCACACCATAAGGTATTTCTTGTATTGTCATTCAAATGGATGTGTTTTNAATTGCAGACAATATTCTCCTTCCGTTATGATATAGTTGTTCGTCATTCCAGTGAGGATTCACTTTAGATAAGCCGTCGACGAGACGGTTGTGTTCCCGCATAAACATTGTATGAATGCCTGATATTGAATGCAATTATTAATTAACGTTAAATAAGTGTTAAGCCAATTGAGGACATACTGGCCAGACTCGGCTGTTCGCTCGCTCTCATATCGCCGGCCATAAAACAAAGACCCGACGGAGCCTTGCATTCAATATGAGTGGCAGTTTGTGGTAACAAATCTTTAAGTCCAACCATTTTAGTTGAATTCAATCTTCCGCTTTGAAATGTACGCAAACTATTGGCTTCGCATATATCAGATCCGTAGACATTGGATCCTAAACTCAAAGTGCTTAACATGTAATTTTTGCCTATAATAACAGTAAAATTAAGTCTAACCGTCAATATAACCGGTCACTTGATTCATCTGTTCGCGCGGCCCAAGAGTTGTCTGGCCATTGAGTGAGCGAACAAAATGCAGGCATTGTTTGACACCAGTTGTGGTGTTGACGGGAGGAAAGAAGGGGTCGTTTTTGGGTATAGGAATGGGCCAACACTCCGGGTGTACTGTCTTTCGCGATGAGCACGACTTGCAGTCGAGTAGCGAATCTCCGGCTCCCATATACATGGGTGTGAAGGTTAAGTCGTGGTCGAGAAACTTGAATTCAAAATTAAGATAACATTTCATGAGAATTACCGTATTTGTAAGACCTTGAGGAATGGGCTGACATACCTGTCCCCATTGCATTGTTGCCAACGCCTACAACAAAACACATCCATTTGAATGACAATACAAGAAATACCTTATGGTGTGAATCACTTACGTATCTGACGTGTGGGGAACTGATATCGTCGTGAATGGATGTGGAGATCACTCGCGGCGACGGAAGACTTTTACCCGACTTTCCTCTTCTTCGTTGACCTTTGATTCCGTCCTCATATACCGGAGGAAGGATTCGGTCAAAAACTCTCATACTTTTGCCAAACTCTGGATTATTAATGTTATTACAGAAACCGCTTATAGACCGGAAAGGTGTCGTGTGATCGCACGGGACGATCGATTCGTAGCACTTGGACAGAGACTTCTCATCGTTACTCGACAAATGGTTGTCAATCAATTCATTTAAGTCCATTTGAGGCAACGATTGAACAAAATCATTAATATCCTCGTCGAGAGAACGACCCAATTCTCTGTCGCGTCCGTCCCTTAACAATGAGTTCACTAAACCATTTGTCGCTAACTCTAACACAAGTGACTGATTATTAATGATCTGCGCCTGTCTTTTGGGCCTAACAAAGCCGGAGAGCCGGGTCTGTGGGCTGTTAGGAGCGGCCACACCATTCTTCTTAAGCATATTCTCCATCTCCGACTGTCGAAGACTTTGAACTTCTCTTCGCGCTCTTTTCAGCTCTTCTATCAATAAGTTTCTATTGATTTTAGACATTGAATGAACCAATCGATCACTGCTTCGCCACTTATTTAAGTCGACGCTATTAATAGTTCCGGTACTGCAGTATTGAAACGCGTTTAGAAATATATCGGACGCTATCATAGACGACGGCTGAACAAAATCAGTTTTGTCGCCGTTGTCGCAGATAATGCGAGCCAATGATGTCCTCCTGATCTCATCCAATTGGTCTTTCGTGAAACCAGACGGAGGCATATCGTTCTCATACCTGTATATTAGTGTTATGTCAGACAGTTTTTATCAATACATGTTAAGTGTGTTCAGTAATTACCAAAATCTATCGCCACTTCGGAGAAAATAAAACTGTCG